ATTGGAGCTTTGAGTGAGTAGAGGAACCTAGAGAGACCATGGAAGATTTGTTCTGTTCTCTCATACCTCACCCTCTGTATCACTCCATTTGTATCCTTGGTAATATCCTTAATAATAAACTGGCAAACAGAAATGCAAAAGTAGAAAATTAAGACCCTTATATTATTTTAAGCCCCTTTTGTTGACAGTAAATATGCAAAGTATACCAACACTGACTGAATGGTTTATTCATTTTTATATGTGTGAAACTATGACTGGTCTGGACGTGAAGAGGTCCCCCAAAGAAGAGATGAGGACCTCACCTTGCATCACAGGAAAGATTTCAGGGCACATTACTGTGAGGCGTAATCAGATTTCTAGTTAAGTAAGAGAAATTTGGAAGGGAATTTCAGCTTGAGGACCTAAAGGGGTCACATTTTAGATGAAGAGGGTCATTTTCCCCTTTCACAAAAGGAGATTGGTGTTTATGGATTAACTGAGGTGAACCAGAATCTTCATGAACATTATCTTGGATTTGGTTTTGCACAATAGCTCAGGGAGGAGTCCTTATTGCTTGAGGGTACTATTCAGTCTCCATGAGATAAGTGTTTCTTTTTGAGGCAGTCTTATATTTATTATGTAAGCTCTGCTGGAATTGAAGGTGAACATAGGTTTGGGGCAATGACTGGAGATTTCTGGGCACTCATTGGTAGTTCAATGTCCCTGTAAATTTCTTGTTTTGATGTCCTCAGTTTTGAAAGGGAAGGGTGAGATTATATAAATTTAGAGCTGTTCGGTACTCCCTAAGTGATTATATGTCTGTGCAAAGCTGAGCGAGAATCTGACTTGAAGTTTTAAGGTAAAAAAGAGGATAGATGGAAAGTGATGATCAAACCTTGTCCTGCTTTTAGTTACTTACTGGGAATCTGTAGGACGAAATGAAAGAGTCACTGTTTTGGGTTTTTTTTTTTTTTTTTTGGAAAAAAAAATTAAGTGCTTGAGTGCCTCAGAGGAAAATAAATCATACTTTTCATGACTTTTATTGCCATTGATATAGTTTTGCTTTTTCCTGAGCTTCATATAGGTAAGAATTTTGACTTCTTTGGCTCAGTGTAATTCCTGTGGAATTCATTTATAATGTTGCATTATCAGTACATGGTTCTTTTTATTGTTCTCTGTAATACTCTACAGATATGTACAAATGCATCACAGTTCTTTGTCCATTTTTTTTTTTTTTTTTTTTTTTAAAA